CAAAAATAATGTGTTCCAGATCTACCCATCTTATTTCCCCTGGTGGTACATGCCAGTGTTGTATCTGTGATAGATGTGCCGCCGTGTGGTAGTGGGTAAAGTGCGGGAGCCCCAGTCCCCCATGTTTTTTGGGTATGTAGAGTGTGTTTCGGCGTACTCTGGGTTTGTGTCCATTCCAGATGAATTTATCTATGGCTGTTTGTAGTGCCTTAAAGTCTTGTTTATGGATCGGTATGGGGAGGGTTTGAAATAGATATAAGAATCTGGGTAGGAGATTCATTTTAATTGTGGCGATGCGCCCCAGCCATGAGACCCCTAGGGATTTCCATTTAATGAGGTCAGAGTGGGCTTTTTGTAATAAGGGAGTGTAGTTTGTTTTATAAAGGGTGGTGATGTCCGTTGGGAGTTGGATCCCTAGGTACGTCATCGTTGTGTGGCAGATCCTCATCGGGCATATTTGTTTGAGTGTGGCTAGGTTTGGAGTGTCTATTTGTATCGGGAGGAGCTCTGATTTATTCAGGTTGATCTTGTACCCTGACAGGTCTGAGTATTCTTGGATAAGAGTTAGGAGCGAGTTTATAGATTTTTCTGGGTTTGTCAATGTTAGCAGGATGTCGTCCGCGTAGGCCGAGATTTTAAAGGTTTCTCCCCTGATCGTTAACCCCTCTATGTCATGGCTGGCACGCACCGCCTGCAGCAAAGGTTCTAGTGATATGGCGAATAGTAGGGGGGATAAGGGGCATCCCTGTCTCGTGCCGTTTGAGATGGGGAATCGTGGAGGGGGGATGTTAGGTAGTAGAAGTGCCCCTTGGGGAGAGTGATAGATGGCATGCAAGAATGAGGTAAACTCGGGTGGCATCCCTATGTGTGTTAGCGTATGATAGAGGAACGGCCAGAGCAAGCGATCAAACGCTTTTTCCGCGTCCAGTGAGATGATCGCTGTAGGGATTCGTCTGTGGTTAGCCAGCCATATGAGATCTATGGCTCTCCGGGTGTTGTCCGCAGCTTGCCTATGTGGGATGAATCCCACTTGATCTGGGTGTATGAGGGATCCTAGGTATGGGTTTAAGCGGTTGGCCATGATTTTGGTCATGATTTTAAGGTCCACGTTGAGTAGGGAAATTGGTTTGTAGTGTGCGGGTTCAGAGTGGTCTTTGCCAGGTTTGGGGAGGAGGCAGATGTTTGCCCCGGTCATTTCTAGTGGGAGGTTCTCTTCCTTGAGTGCTGCATTAAAGACCGCGCATAGATGTGTAAAGAGCAGTGGGCCGAATTCTTTGTAATATAGGGCTGTGTAGCCGTCCGGTCCTGGGCTTTTATTTGGTTTGAGGGATCCCACTGCCATGGTAATTTCTTCTGTCGTGACATCTTGGCTCAGGGCCGCTTGGGCCTCTTGCGTCAGGGTGGGTAGCGTCGTGCTTTGTAAGAATGTGTCTATGCGTGAGGACAGTGATGGGCTGGTGTCATGGGGTCGGTGGTCATGGTTATAGAGGTCCGTGTAATAGTCTTGGAAGACTTTACCTATGCTAGTTGGGCAGTTTGTGAGGGTACCATCGTTCCCGCGTATCTTTGTAATGCGTTTAGCTTCAGTTCGTTTTTTAAGTCTGCGGGCAAGCATGGTGTCCGCCTTGTTGCCCTTTTCATAATATTTCTGTTTGAGCCACATCAGGGCTTTGGCTGTGTCTGCTTGCGTGAGGGTGTTAAGGAGGTTTCTGGTCGCCGTAAGTTTGGACAGGGTGGTCGGGTTAGGGTTCTTTTTGTGTTCCGTTTCTAGGCGGCGGAGTTCTGTCATCGTTTCTAGAATCTGTCGTTGTGTTTGTTTGTTTTTGTGGGTAGCTAGGTTGATGAGTGTGCCTCTGATGACTGCTTTATGTGCTGTCCAGAGGGTCATAGGTGAGGTCGTTGTGGGTGAGTTTAAGTCGAAATAATCTTTGATTGCTATGGCTATTTTGTTTCTAATCAGTTGATCATGAAGGAGTATTGGGTTAAGTCGCCATGACCAGTGTGTGTGTATGGTCGATAGGTTTAGAGTGATTGCTATCTCGGCATGGTCGGACCAGGAAATTGGTCCAATCTCCGATTTGGTGATTTGAGATAGTAAGTTTGGTGAAATGAGAAAGTGGTCAATGCGTGAATAGGATCTGTGTGGGTGGGAGTAGAAGGTGTAGTCTTTGGTGGTCGGGTGTTGCGCCCTCCATATGTCAATCAGTTTGTGGGAGGCCAGGAATTGGGCGAAGAGGGCGTCGTTTTGGTTTGGGCGAGTTCGTGTTTTGGTGCTTGCAGTCCTATCTATGGCAGGCATGTGTACTGCGTTGCAGTCCCCGCCCACTGTAAGTCGTGTGGCTGAGTACGTGTTAAGGTGGGTCGCTAATTGTTGCCAGAAGGTTGTATCTGGTGTTGTGGGCGCGTAGAGCGATGAAAAGGCGTATTGTGTTGTGCCTATTTTTCCCCGTATTGTGATGTATCTACCCTGTGGGTCTTTAGTACAGGTGATGTCTGTGAGGGGGCTGTTTGCTCTCAAAAGGATCGCTACCCCTTTGGTCTTGGTGTCTGGGGAGGGAGCATGGAAGCTCTGTGTATAGTATCTGTTAGTGAGGGGGAACATGCGGTGGATTGTGAAGTGGCTTTCCTGTATGAGGACTATGTCGGCTTGTTGTTTGTGTGCCCAGCGTAGAATGCCGTGCCTCTTGTTGGGGGAGTTCAGCCCTTTGGCGTTGATGGAGATGCAGCATATTTGTGTAGGCATGGTGTCAGTAGAGGTGTGGAGGTCTCTGAGGGTTTTGCAGTGATGGGTTATCCTGGGTTGCGCGTCCGGGTGGCAGCGGGCCGCGAGGGGTGGGGGGGAGGGGAGGGCGGGAGGGGTGAGGTTGTTAGCCTGGGTTAAGGTAGTGGAAGGGGGATATGGGGTAGAATGTGCTACTGGGCTTATCCGAGGGCCAGTAGGTTGTGGGGCGAAGTGTCCGACCGCTCCGTAGGTTTCCCCGCGAGTTCGGTTAGGTGTGTGTGTCGGGGGTTGGCGACCGTCCGGGCCGTCCAGAGGCAGTTTTCAGTAGTCGCCCGCGGTACCGTGTGTACTGTGGTCAGTCATCGTTTTGGTGTCGTTGCGTCCGTGAGGTTAGCCCTCTACGTATTGTGACGTGTGTTTGCAGGGTCGTACCTTGTGAGCCCGTGGGGCGTTGGTCTGGTCGTTAGTGGGTCTAATTTTGGTTCGGTGGTGAGGGTGCTTTGTCACCGTCCAGTCGTAAGGTGTCGGCGTGGAGCCGTCTGCTGTAAGTGGCGTCCGTCAGCATGCGAGGTGGGGTGGGGTGTGTTGGTTAGCTGAAAAGTAATGAGTAACAGTTTTACATTGTAACACAACAGTTTAGCATCAACTTCAATTTAGTTATATACATTTCCTCTGCCTTAGTGTCTAGAGGTTCCCGTGTTGCGTATCTTCCCCTGTGGTATCTCTTTGTGGGGATTCCTAGAGGATCCCTGGGCTGGAAGTCTGAAGGAATGGGGGGGTTGATTTGTAGCTGCACGTTCCCGGCCCCTCGGTTACCTGGTGCCATATCTTTGCAATTCTTGTAGGTTAGTGTGAGTCCCTCCCTGTACTGGTCCGCTAATCTCCTTGGTGGTGCCCCGATTTGCATTGGGCCCTAGGGGTTGTATGTGCTCAGGGTGTGCCTGTCTAAGTCCTTCTATTTCCCAAGGCGTGTCGTTTGCACTTAGCCTCTCTAGTGCTTATGGTGTTGTCACCTGTTTTCTATGTGGAGGGTGTGCCCGCGTCTCCTGGGTCCCAGTGTGTCTAGTGCGGGAGCAGAATGTGGTCCCCGGCACCGCTTTGTTGGGTCTCATGGGAAAGTGGTTGCGCTCAAGGGTGCCAATGGTGTTATGAGGTGTACTCCTGGATGGTATCTATCATTGGGCGCCTGCCATGTCCATTGGTGGGGGGTCGGGGGGGTGCACCAGCCATCCCTCCCCACCCAAGGTGTTCTTCCCTACGGGTATTTGCCCTGTTTTGGTGCTAAGTCGTGGTGTTGTGTGCTGTGGCGTCTAGGATACCTGTGTGGTGGGTGGGTGTGGGGCAACTATCCCATTTTGCTCTATGGGTAGCATTGGTCTGTACCTACATAGGCTGGTACCGAGAAGGGTACTAGTCCGTGCCGCCTGCATTCCTGGGTCTATAATTTCTATCTAGCGAATGATACCTATCGACTAAACAGCGAACAGAAAACATAATATATATAAAGCAAGAAGAGAGTTTATTAGTTATATCTTATCTGGAGCTTGGAGTTGTCAGCGGTTTAGGCTGCTTCAAGTTCAGTATTGGGGTTTGGAGTTGCCGGTGTTCTTTAGTGTCGGGGTCAATCTGGGTTCTGTGTTCGGGTACGCTTTCAGCTATAGTGACCACAGTCCTCTTGTGAATGGTCCGTGATGTTTCTCATTTCTTGTGTTGGTCATCTGTTGGTGCGTCGAGTGGTGAGTGGTTGTCGGTCCGTTTAGTTGTCGGCCCTAGGGCGTGGGCTATTCGGTATCTGGCGTGTCAGGGCTAGCGGTGGTGTATTACTGGGCGGAGGGCCTCTGTCGTGTCTTCTGGGATTTGGGTCCGTGGTGAGAGTTGTGGGATCCAGGCCAAGGCTCTCTGCGAAATCCGCCATTTCCGCTGTGTTGTATAGGGTGTAGGTGCGGTTGTTCTTCCGGACCTGAAGCTTAAATGGGTGCCCCCATTAGTAGCGGATATGTTGCCTCGTGAGCTCCTGAGTGAGGGGCCGCAGCTACCTCCTTTTGCGTAGGGTGCTCGGGGCCAGGTCCTGGTAGAAGGAGATTTGGTGACCTTCGATTTGTAATGGGGTGTTTCGTGCCGCTTGCATGAGTGCCTCTTTAATGTGGAAGTAGTGCACTCTTATAATGACATCCCTGGGTTGGGTTGCATTGGGCATGGGTGCTCGGAGAGCCCTGTGCGCTCTATCCAGTAGGAGTTCCGCCGGTGAGGCCTCTGGGAGCAGGCCACAAAAGAGCTCTCATAGCGTTGGGCCCAGTGCCTCCAATGTGACTGTTTCTGGTATTCCGCGTATCCTTATGTTATTTCGGCGGGACCGGTTATTCAGGTCCTCTTGTGCCTCCTCCAGTTGGCGGAGCTGTTCTTGTAGGGCGGTTATGGCATTTTCAGTTGCTGTTGTGCGTGTAACTGTCCGGTCCAGTTGCTCCTCAATAGTAGAAGTTCTGTGGGTTAAGTCAATCAGGCCTTCTCTGATGGGTGTGAGATGCCTGTCAAATTCTGTAGCCATATTTGCCTTGATTTCACTTAGCAGCTGGCGGAGGTCCTCTTTGGTGAGGGGGGTGGCTGTCATTGTTCTGCTCCTGTCGCTGGCTGCAGAGTCAGAATCATATTCGCGGCCTTCTTCTTCCTCCCGCGTGGCGCCGCCATCTTTGCGGCTCCGGAATATCGGAGCTACTTCAGCGCCCTGTTTTGATTTCCGCCCGCCCCCCATCGCTATTTAGTGGAGCACCGTGGGTGAGATACGAGGTGGTCGGGTGGGTGTGAGGGAGCCGGTTGCGGGTGCTGATTGTCGCTGGTTCTGTGCCTCCGTGGACGGAGCTCCCCTAGAAAGCCGCCATTCGCGCCGGAAGTCAGGCGCCGCCCCCTAGAAAATACTTTTTAAGTTAAAATTGATTAAATGCATCTAATTAAAATGATTATGGCTCTAATACACTCACTGACAGCCGTTTGAATACCGTTGGTAATGAATGGCGGGGATATCTAATATTTTTAGAGTATTTGTTTCTTTATTAGTTTGTTGTAAATTTTTGGGGGGTTTACCATTTTTTAGCCCTTCATTATTTAGCACTTATATTAGATTATATGGAATAATATACACAGATTTACACTTACCAAAGTAATAATATATTTCACTCTTAAAGAGACTATTATCTCAAATACAATGGAATTATAAAAAAAAAATTTAAACACATAGTGTTAAAGTCACATTCTGGGTATTAAATAACCCAGGAACACTTGATTATAGTTTGTCTTATGAATTATTGTTTTGGTTGTATTAATATTACACTTGTTCACATAATGTCCATAAATATGACAGCTATTATAAGATACTTTGATACCCAGTAGATGAAATTGGCAATTGTTATCATTTGTAACCATTTGCAAATATATTTGTATTTGTTGTTTTTTACGTATGCTCTTATGTCCGGCTGAAACTCGTTGCCATAGCAAAATGATCTGAACCCTACACCACGGAGTGGGTGGCTCTGTTTCTTTGAAAGGAGATGTTCTCCCAATGGTTGCAGTTTACACAGCGGCAACCAAGGCAGAATGTATCAGCGGTTGCCTAGGTGCTGTGACGCTTACGGGTTTAAGACTCGGCCCCTTCTGTTACTTGATGTGGGAGTTCTGATTGGAGGCACACATGCGCAAATGCCCTGAGTCCACGCCGGGCATCGGGGGATATGGAATACAGCTGACACGGTGAGTGTTGATTGGGATAGATGCCCTATATATGTTTGTTAATTGCAATGTTAAATGCTCTTTATGTCCTGATGAAAGCTCCGATCGGGAGCTGAAACGTTGGCTTTGCTTGAATTGACCAACAATAAATTGGATGAACTAAAAAAGACTGCTTGAATTGACCAACAATAAATTGGATGAACTAAACCCAAGAGTGCCGGTAATTTTTTGATACTTAAAAAAAAAAATATATATAGTGCTTTACAATATTATGAGAAGGAAGATTTCACTATAAATAGGACAATTACAAGAAAACTTAGAGGATCGATAGGTTGAAGAGAGCTTACAGTCTATAGGAGGTGGGGTATAAAACTCATTAGGACAGGAAATAGCAATAAGGTAAAATAAGCAATAAGGTAAAGCAAATAAGGTGGAAGTGAAGCAGAGCTGGAGGAGAGAGTAAAGCGCTGCCCTTTAGGAGAAAGGAAGAGACAGGTATTTGAGGTTACTCTGGGAGGCCATAACCTTTCCTAAAGAGATGGGTTTTAAGGCACTTCTTAAACAACTGAAGACTAGGAGAGAGTCTGATGGCGGTAGGCAGGCAATTCCATAGGAAGGGAGCCGCCTGCAAATGCGAGTTGGCAGTACGGATGCGAGTAGCAGACAGGAGAAGGTCATGGGCAGAGGGGAGAGACCTAGAAAGGGGCATACCTATGGATCTGTGAAGAGATATTAGAGGGGCTAGAATTGTTCAGTGCTTTATATGTATGGGTTAGCACCTTGAATTGACTCCTATAGGATACAGGAAGCCAATGTAAGGACTGACAGAGGGGTGAGGTGTGAGAGGACCGACTAGAGAGGAAAATCAGTCTGGCGGCAGCATTCATTATAGACTCTAGCGGGGCAATACGGCCTTTGGGAGGACCAATTAGAAGAGGGTTACAATAATCCATGTGGGAAATTACTAGAGCATGGACAAGCTCCTTGGTAGCGTCTTGCGTAAGAAAGGGGCAGATGCAGGCTATGTGTTTAAGATGTAATCTATAGGATTTGGCAACATACTAGATGTGAGGCTCAAAGGTGAGGCCAGAATCAAGTATGACGCCAAGACAGCACGCTTGCAAGGATGCACTTATGTGGATACCACTAACTTGAAGGGAGAGTGAAAGCAGAGGATCAGTATTAGGAGGAGGAAAGACAAGGAGCTCAGTTTTAGAGAGATGGAGTTTCATAAAGTGGGAGGATATACAGTTAGAGATGGAAGAAAGGCAAGCAGTGACATGTTGCAGGACGGCAGGGGAGAGGTCCGGGGAGGAGAGATATATCTGGGTGTCATCAGCGTACAGGTGGTAGTGGAATCCAAATGAGGTAATACGTTTCCAAGAGAGAGGTAATAAAGAGAAAATAGAAGGGAACCAAGGACAGAGCCTTGGGTGACTCCAACCGTGCCTCATTAGAAAAGGAGACACTGAATGAGCGTTGTGAGAGATAAGAGGAAAACCACGAGAGGACAGAGTCACAGAGGCCGAGTGATTGAAGAGTTTGAAGGAGAGCATGATCAATGGTGTCAAAGGCAGCAGAGAGGTGAAGAATAATTAGTATGGAGTAGTAGCCTTTGGATTTAGCTGCGATTAAGTCGTTAGTAACTTTGATAAGAGCAGTCTCAATAGAGGAGAGGGCGGAAGCCAGATTGAAGAGGGTCAAGGAGAGAGTTGGAATTTAGGAAGTGAGACATATGGGTAAAGAAATCTCTTTCCAGAAGCTTTGAGGAAAAAGGGAGCAGGGATATGAGACGATAGTGGGGGAGGACGGGTCAAGAGATGTTTTTTTCAGGATAGGAACTACAGTGCTAGAAAATGACTTTCCTGTTACTGGTCACTGAAACCAGAACCAGGACTGTCAGCTGGACAAAATATTAGTAAATAATAAATAATTAAATCAAAATTGCCATCAATATGTCGGAATATAGAGAGGGTTCATACGTAGATTCAAGTGATTAAAATAGCCTAAATGGCTCTTCTCCTGTCTAAAGGACTCTTAGACGTAAAGAATCTATTTGAGACTCAGGACTTTAATATAATCAACCATAGTATGTCCATGTCAACAGTAAAAGCGGTTGTAGAATGAGCCTTTAAATTGACTCCTGTAATCTAGATGGAAAAGACAATCAGTCAAAGAGGAACTTTGAATAGTGGCTGTATATAAAGTAACACTTGTAGCAAAGCCCGCTGTATCAAAAAAGCTACAATAAGAGTGTAGTTAAGCAATCAGCAATTAAGGATAACAGCATTTAACTGGATACCAAGTAACATATAATAAAAGGAAAAAAGTCTACATAAAAATTCGTAGATTAATCACAAAATATGTCATAAATGATAAATCCTAAGTTAGTGGTTCCTAAATCGCTATGGGGTACAAAGAGTATCTGTTGCCCCCTCAAATACATACAGAGCCAGTCCAGATTCCTCAATCAAATAGATAGTTCCAATCTAGATAGCATATCAGGAGTGACAGGAGGAAAAGGTGAAAAATTAGGAAATAATAGTGCTAATGTGTAGAACCATGCTTAGAGTGCTGGTTACCTACACATCGTGAAATAGTGCCCTAGAAGTGAAAATAAAAAGTGAGTGAAAGTGAAGGAGAAAAACCTCCTTCAACCCGACGCGCGTTTCGGTGCTGTGATGCACCTTCGTCAGGGGCTGAATTCGTTATGGACCCTAGACCTTGTTTAAATACCCCTGGTATTGTAACTGTTGAGAGGATTCCACCAATCAGGGTTCCTATGTGGACCGTCAGTCGGCGCCAAAATGACGTCAGAATATGCTAATTCAGGGTTAAGTCCACCTCTACATTGTGTGGTTTATATTTAACCCTGTACAGGGTTATATTTAACCCTGTATGTACTCATTGGATGGAGTGACTTGCTTCATAGAATAGAGAAAGGACGAAGGTGAATATATCTGTGTAAATTTTATAATCAGAGACGGATGATTCGTCAAGACATTTGTATCATGTAAAGTGAGTGTATTGCTATCGCAAGGCATTGTTTGAGAAGTAGACGGTTCATCATGGGTTATCTGGACGCCTGTAGGATCATGAGAATGGGTAGAGAGGCTTTGAGCGAAAAACCTCTAAAAAGTGGAAATAAGGGATTTTAACCCTCGCTTAGCCATGGGGACCTAATACCTATCCCAGGATATCATAAGGAATATATAAATATGGGCGGTCAGGTTAACTGTACTTCCTATTAGGGTAATGATCATTTCATTATCAAGCCTCATTCTCGATTTACGGGCGGAATTAACCCCCGCTATACTGTTCTTAGCAGTCATGTGAAAATAGTAATAGCTGAGCTTATACCCAAAATTCCCATGTGCGGGTATTATCAAATGGCTTGGTGATCGTAAATAAATTGCCAGATACTCATATACCAGTGTGTCTACATAAATACTAGGTAATGAATGCCTCTGATATACATAATCAAATATTGAGGCTTTTTATAATGCAGATAAATTCGTCAGTTCTTATTCTTTCTAAATGGAGATTAGTATTTCGATAATCGAAATTTGTCCAGCCATTCCCGTTGGCAGTATCAATTCAAATTGTCAATTTAGATGGCTGGTACGTTGGGCTAGTCCATATATCCATATAACGTGTATAGTATTATAAATAGGAGATGGAGGGAAAAGTAGCATACGACATATTACATTTTAAGTAATTTATATAACTTTTAATGGATCATGTGTCATCATGGGATCAGAGTGATCGGTCATGTGTAAGTCTTACTGGACATAATTTACTCAAATGAGTGAGTTATATAGTATATTTAAAGTGTATCCAGAAGATACCCACTAGACAGGCTATAATAATGAGGGCTGTATACCTTCTTTGAGCCACTAGGGGTCAGTCACAGACATACCAGGGGTAAATTTCCATATTGAATGTATCTAAGTGGTATTTACTCTTTTGATGGATTAATTTCCAATTATTAAATAGTAAATTAATGAAGTGTTGCTAGGGAAGAACCGG